GGAGACCTTTGCCCTGGGGCCGGCGGGACCCCCCGGCTTCTCTGACCAGAGCAACGAAAGTCTCTTTTAAAAGGAAAACGTACAAAGTGTACCACCCAGGAAATCCACATTCCATAGTGTGTGTGAGCGCTGCCTTGCAGACAAGTGGCCGTCTTTTTTTTCGCTTGAAATCTTGCGGAGAGAAGGGCCCGCTTGTGCGTGGCCATGCTGCCAGGTCCTTGTGGGCAGGTGGCTCTTGTGAGACAAGCAGAAGCTAAATGAGAATAGGGGTTGTAGAGTTTACCGTGTCGCTGCTCTCAGTCTGCAATTTTTCAGTAGGCTTGATGTTTGCTCTGGACTACCAGAAGCTGTACCTTTCAGAAAAGCTGATATGCTTCATCATGTGAGCCTGTGCTAAATCTCCCAAGGATTTTTACTCTGAGCAGGACCAAGCCGAAAAGGCATTTTTCTTCCCTGTGAAGCACGTGCCAGTAAGCCGAGCAGCGGAAGAAGTTCTAGAAAATATAGGTATTCCAGCTGTCTTACACCAGAGTGAAAGCTAAGTTAATAGTTGAGTTGCTTCAGTTGTTCTGTGGTGTAAAGGCAAAACTGATTTCTGAGCAAGTTCTACCTGTTCTGCTTGTGGGATGGTTGTGCTTTATGAGGTGTGATATTCTGATGGGCTGCTAGTGGTGTTGGAAAATGAAACCTTACACTGGTGATGGTGTTTGTACGCTTGGGCCATGATTTAAACGTCTTGTACTTCCCTGAGTGTTGTGCTACTAGAACTGCCTTCCATATTACCTCTAACAACTTGGTTCAGCAAATCCTGTAAGTTATTAGGGATTTAAGTATTTTCAGTGAATGATTTCCAAACCAATAATCTTTTTATCCATTTAGATATGGACCCAAAGTCCACTGAAGAAAAAACAACAACAGAGATTGAACTTTGAATTTTGGATCAAATGTTTAGTCAGCATTCTGGATTTTCCATCACTGAGACATGGTTGTTTTGATATATCCTGGCTTAGAGGATGAGCTGGATTTCTGCTGAACTCGGTGGGAATCCAGAGATCTGCAAGACGGAACTGCATTTTTCCCTTTACAAAGTCTGGTGTTGTAATAGTGTGGAAAAGTCTGGAATCATTGCTTAAATGATACTGGCATCCTTCTTGGTGGAGGATCCAGTTACAGCATTACTACCATACCTTTCTTTGCTCCAGGGGTGGAAAAATGTTAAAATTATTAAGATAGGAATCTTAAATGTGAACTGTTCTTAGTAAAAGTGAGATGACGCTGTAATTTTAATATGAAGGAGATTTCTCAATTCAGGCTCAAGAGGTACAGGTGGTGGTGGGGTTTGTTTGTTTTGAAGCGGTAGTAAAGTTCTCTAGCCTGTTTTATCCTGCTTTTCAGTGAACTGTGCAGAAACTGTCTACTTGGGCATGTGTAGGCACTCAGGTAGGCAGCCCAGGATCCTTGTGTAAGTTAAAGGTTGTCTTCATGAGAGAGAAACACGTTCATGCTTCACTGTGTTCTGATCACATGTTCGTGCTAGAAAGCTTTCCAGGTAGGGGTGATAAATGAAGGAATACTTTTTTTCCCCCCCCTAGCCCTCTAGGCTAACTGTTGTTAACTAAAGGTTACTGTTGATCATGGCATTATGATAAATTTATCCAGACATATTTTCTCTCAAGTAGAATATTGAACTTCTACAAAAAAATTCAGAACTGAAAGAAAAAGAACCCAAAAGCATGTTTCAGTCCTTTTCTGACTTCCTAGTCCTTTAAGTTAGGAGGGTTCCACCATCTAGCATGTCTTGTCCAAAACTTCCTTTTCTCAAACACCTTGAAATGCCACAGGGGTCTTTTCTTTATCGGATATGGGTAATGTCAGCGAGTCCATGCGCTTTTGCACAAGCAGGTACTTTTTCTGCCGAGATAGCTGTTGGGAGGTGGATCCGAGTACGTCAGTGGTGACATCTGGTGGCCAGGAAAAAAAAAAAAAAGTAAAAATAGAAATTGCCTGCCTGGGGTCTTCATAGTTCCAAGAGGTGGTACCCTTAGCCTTTTAGCCCAAGATCTGCTGGCACAGCATACAGTAATATCACAATATGACCTTGGCTGCAAAGGCATGCTCATTTAATATTGTGGTTCTGATTATTTCTGTAGTTTTGTGGGACTGATAGTAGGCATGTATATGCATGTTTATGTAGCAGTCGCTCACACATAACCGCACCCATATAGCTCTCAGTATTACCCTCTGTCTCTTCACATCTGCAGTAGCAGCTCTGCTGCCAAGTGTTACAGTGCTGATGTTGAGACAGAGCTAGTAAGTCCAGTTGATTTCATCTAGCAGTGGGTGTCTCTTTGCTGTGCTTTGCTCAATGCACCTTATTCCAGAGTTTGTATAAGTTTTGTAGATTTTACTTGCAGGGCTCGGTGCTCTTGCCTTATTGGTAATGAGCTTGCACTTTGCTAATTAAGGTATGACTTCTTCGTGGGAAAATAGCTGATTTTGAGTATGATTGTTCTGAGGGTGGGAGATTAAGACCATTGAAAAATACATTTAGAACAGGGTTTAAAAAAAAAAAAAAAGTAGTTTAACTGTTCACATATTTTTACAGGAAAGTAAGGACCTATTCTTAGTTTGAAATAGCTAAAGTGGGATACAGCACTGGTTCTCTAATCTCTGCTATGCAAATGGAAAAGTAATGAGTATTATAGAAGGCTTAAGACATTTTCTATTATTTTGTTGTTCGCTCTTCACCAGATAGTTTTTAATGTCCTGTTTGATAACTTGTCCTCTGTACCTCTTCTTTTTAATACAGGGGATGGCCCTTTTCCAGGAGTGATTGACATGTATGGTGATGAAGGAGGTTTGATTGAATTTAGATCCAGTCTCCTGGCTACCCGTGGTTTTGCTGCTCTTTCTCTGCCATATTTTGACTTTGAAGATCTGCCTAAGGTCATGAAAGAATTCAAACTCGAGTACTTTGAGGAGGCAGCTAGATTCCTACAGCGTCACCCAAAGGTGAGTGTAATGAGAGATCTCTCAGGACAAGGGAGGATTCGGCAGTCATGCCCAAGTGGTGGTGGTGGTGGTGGTGATTCTTTTGGAGTATCAGTTTCTGCTGGGCAGGTTAGGCCCAATAATGGAAAAAGTTCTGCATAGGCAGCTACGCATATGACTGTGGAGAGTGAATTTCTTCTAGCACAAGCTGTCTGTTAAATAAATTTGTGCTGGAAACTAGAATATTCCTGATCATTAGAACAGTGAAGTGCTGGAATATCCTCCAAACAGGAGCAGTGGTGATAAAGATGGGTTTTTTAAAAATGAAAGCAATTCCTTTGAGAGGATGATACAAAACTGCTCAATAGTCTGCAAAGGAATGGATTTGGTGACTTGGGATGTTGCTTTCAGTTTTACTTTCCAGGCTGGAAAAGGACAAGACTAAATACTACTTATCTAACCCTTCAAATGTCATTTGTAAGGTTACTTTATTTGCCTGAGACTTAGATAGTAATAGACCATGCTTGAACTTCCTGCTACCTGTTTTGGGAAAAAGAGAAAATATTTCCATCAAAATATGCAGTAGGGACTAGGTGAGGTCCAAGTGATGGTACTTCTTGTGCCTGACTGTGTTATTTTGTGGGGTTTGACAGATCTTGTTGTCTCTGAAAAATAAGACATTAAACAGAGGGAGGAGGCTGGGTCCAGGCTGTAGCTTTCCAACAGGTCACATCAATAATTAACCTAACTTTTTTTTTTTTAATAACACGACTCCAAAGGCATTTAATGGCTAATCCCATTATAATGCATACTTCCTTTATTCCTTTCTTCCTCTCTTCCCCACCCCCTGTCTTACCCGAAGGTGAAGGGGCCAGGAGTTGGAGTGATTGGGACTGGGAAAGGGGCAGAATTAGCACTCTCCATGATCACCTTCCTGCCAGAAGTAGTGGCTGCCGTCTGTATCTCCGGCTGTAGTTCAAACACAGTTGCAGACCTCCATTATGGTGAGATGACTCTGCCTGGGCTGCGTTTTGATATGAATAAGGTCAGTGTTTCCGATGCTGGTGTATTTGACATTTTTGAAGCTCTGGATGACCCAACGAATCCTGCTAATTCTCCTTGCACGATCCCCATTGAAAAAGCAGAAGGTCACTTTCTCTTAGTGGTGGGGGAAGATGATCGTATGTGGAAGAGCTCCTTATATGCTGAGCTGGCAATCAGGCGTCTACGCCAGCATGGGAAAGAGAACTTTGAACTCTTGAGTTATCCAGGAGCAGGTCACCGAATTGATCCTCCTTCTACTCCATTTTGTCAGGTAGCTATGGATCGTGTTCTGGGGGTGCCTGTTCTGGGGGGTGGAGAGAGCAAAGCGCATGCCCATGCACAGGAACACTCCTGGGGAAAGATTCGGGAGTTTCTGCACTTGCATTTGGGATGAACACTTAAGCATCTGCAAGCTGTTGCAGAACTGCAGAGGACTGAGCTTGAGCCACCAAAATGACTGGTGAATTGGAGGGACTGACAGAGAATAGCTTTGAAATACGAAATAACCAAATGACTACTTAGCTACGAGTATAAATCCAAAAAGAAAGGGATATATTTTAACTGCGTACACAGAGGAGAAGTGACACAATGATAAGTAGGCTGCATTGTAGTACAAACTTGACAGCCTGAATTGGTCATGATATCAGGAAACAAGTATCTGAAGAGAGTAGTAGGTACTTTCTTGCTTGCAGTATTTATGACTCGGAGAATTTAACAGCCTAGCCTGCACCCTCAGCAATGACAGACTGGATCGCACCTGGGGAATGATGGCAACCCATGGATGATAAACTTGATATCAAAATGATGAATGATTCTGGCTTGGGGTCTTAACTTAGCCCAGAATTCTCGGATTTACAGCCATATATACTTTGGAAATGTTTTCTATTTACGTAAAGCTGGGAATATCTGTTTGTAATGAGGCTGATAATACCTTGACCTTAGGTAGTGGTCTTCTAGTGACACACTCTGTTTCTTGCCAACAAAAACTACCTGTAGAGTGGGAAAATGAAGACTACTTTTCCTGTCATCCAGAGAGAATGGCAGCACTAGCACTGTTTTGTATTAGGGATGTAACCATCTGTTCCTAGAATGTCTTGGATTGGCATTTGACACTCAGGGTATTAAAATTCTGTTGGATAGGTTAAAGCACAGTTTTGCTGCGTGCAAGTTTTACTTCTGTCTTCATTGCTTGTTTTAAACTAGTAACGCCTGCCATTAAGTTAGGGATTAATTACTTGTGGAACTCTTTAGTAATGATGTCAACGGATACTGCTGACAGCTGTTCTTAGGGAGGAAGCAGAGTTGAGACAGAAAACCTAGCCTGTAGAAGATTAAGACTGGCTGTAAAAAGCTGTCACCTTATGGTGATGATTAACTTAGAATCATAATACTTTTTAAAAAATAACAAAAAAAACCCAAACAAAACCACAACAAACCAAAGCCACCCACCGCCACCCCCCCAAATATATAAACAACCCAACCCCAAATCTAGATATCTTCTCCTGACTGCTGGAGATTGGTTTGGTTTGGTTTTTTTAATCCTAATTAATTTTTGGCTAGTGCCTTATTTTCCCCTACCATTCAGGTAGAAGGAAACAGCTTCCCAAACGAGTTGAACTCTCAAGAGGTTCTTGCTGGAACGGTGCCAGAGCTGAAGGCCTGTTTAACAAGGGCCTCTATCAACGCAATTTCTCCTTCCAAGGTCATTTTGTCAGACCAGTTTGAGAGCTGCCCAGGAAGATACAAAACCTTCATTTATGGTACTCAGTTTTGCTTTGCTCTCAGGGATCTTTTCCCTCCAGTTAACTGTCATTATGCTGATGCTCAGGTCTCATGAGCTTTCTGCAACTCTTATTACTCCTTATCATTTGATTGAAGTCACGTGTTCTCCACATGCTATCACTGCCAATTGAACAATTTATCCATCCACTCCTGACAAGAGAAGCTCCACCCTGCTCACTCCACACAAAATGTCTTCCTGCCTAGTCTCTCTAGACTCCCTCACTGGCTGAAGAGGAGTCCTGTCTGGTGCTTGAACCTCCACCAGAACCGAGAGCCCCAGAAGTCCAGGACCACAGCCTGCTGTGATGTGCGTGTTGATGTCACCCATGCTTAGTACCCTGCCTTTTTTCCAAACTCACTCCAAGTTGCAACCATAGAGGAAAGGGTTGTCTGAAGGTTTCTGTTTGGTCAGTCTGACTTATCATGTGCATCTTCAGTAGTCAGAGCTGCATAATCGTGGTAGAGCGGTGCCGCCCCAACCCTGTTTTGTTACCCCCCCAGTCCCGATACCTGTGTCTCCACTGCAGTCCTACATCAGCATATCCATTGCCGTGTGTGATAAATTGAGACCGCAAGGGATCAA